GTAGTTGGCCCGATGCTCAGAAACTTTGGACGACGGAAAGTATGCAATCCTAAGGGGTGAAAATGTAGGGAAACCCAGTTAAAGGGGAGGAGGGGCAACTCCGACGTCACGCACTTCTAAGCCCTACTCAATCAATGCTGAATCAAAAGGCAACAAAAAATCAGAGACAGTGGAGCCTACTCAACGGTGGGGCAGTCGACAGAGGCACGCCGCACGATACGGAAGGCTTCAACATTGGTCACCTGCCGCAGCGAATCACTGTTGATCCTGGTGATGTAGTCGCCGGGTGCAAGACTAGCCGAGTGTTCCACAGCACCACCACGCAGGACTTGTACAACACGACATCCGTCAATACCGCCGGCAGCCGAGGCGTCCAACTTGATACCTGCGCGACACCCGCATGTAAAGCAATTTTGGTTATTGGCAAAAATGATCATACAGTCAAAAACAGAAAGGAAGACTGTACCTACGCGTTGGCCTACCTTCAGGCCCGTTTGCAGATGTCGGATGGCTTTTGGGGAAGGTTAATGGCCAAATATGGAAGCTTTGGGGCCTGAGTAAAAGACAGTCGCAAACGATGCAGCCGCAGCGATGCGGCAAATCGGTGATCCATAAAGGGCTTAGAAGTCCTAACATAACTCCAGTGACCGTCTGACACACAACCTTGAAATCCTAACCTGGCATTTCGCAGAAGTGCGCAGAGATGTCTAATCTCGAATTCAGGACCTAAGGGGGCCGCCTTTCTGCACCGGAACGTCTTACGCGATCGCTGCCCAGCGAGGCACGGTGCAACCGCACTGTTAGGCGACAGCGAAGCAAAAGCTCGCGAGCTCTGGCTGGATATGTTGAGAGGATTAACTGACTGCCCAACAAAACAGGGCAAGACTGAGGTGGTTGAGCAATGAGGACTTCGAGTCACCGATACGTAGAAACAAAAAAAACTTACCAAGAGGAAAGGAGTTGGCTTTAATACGAACGACAAGTTCCTCCTCTTGGGGCATTGGTGGCGCACTCACGTTGGGGGCGTGGAGGTATTCACTGTCCGGGGACACGACAAAATGCGAGTAATAGTCCAGGGGCTGAAAGACCGGCAGAAGGAGACGATCACTAAGGTTACGACTGGATATGGCAGGTCCGCACATAACGAAGCCCTACAGCTGAAGGCCCATACTTACATGGTCATTCTTGTACTCTTTCACGAATTCGTCCTATAGGCAGTAAAAGAAAATGCTGTGAGTAGAAGCCCAGAAGAAAACAGGGGGGATGGAGGACAGAACAGAGGGATGGTGCAGTTATAGCAACTGGCTAACTCAAGCGACAACAGACATGCTGGTGAAAATCCAGCTTCAGGGAAGCGTGTGAGTCTCATGCTATCATCAACTGACAACATAGCAGAGGCGCGAAAACCAAGGAACGAGGGATACTCCACACGTGATGACATGCGCCTCCGAAGACGAGGTTAAGGCCAAACAATAAGAGCGGACATGGTAGCGGCAGAAACAACATGATGCCATATGCAGAAAAGGAGTACGTGATGCCACAAGATGAATACAATATCTCTCAGACCCCTCTCAGTCTACCTGTGACCAGGATCGCAGAGCCGCTGAGTCGTCATCAGTGTCCCGCAAGTAATCCAGGCTCGCAAGCCAGTCCTCTGAGGACTGTGAGCACAGTGACTGTTGGGAGGATGTCGAGGTGAGGCTGCCGAGAGACAGGGAGATTGTAAAACTACGAGGCATTGCCAGACGAGGCAACTGCTGTGCCTCCTCCTCCTCTGTGACGG